AATTTTAATAAATGAATTAAATTCTTTATTTTAAATAATGCGAATTCCGCTTACTCCAAAATTTGGCCATAATTAACATAATTTTCTTTTTAATCCACTTCCATTTTTAGAACCAAATTTCGTTGGCTCCTTTGACATTGGGGACTTTGTCTACTTCTTCTTCCGCGAGCATGCCGTGGAGTACATCAACTGCGGCAAGGCCGTCTACTCGCGTGTGGCACGCGTCTGCAAGAACGATCGCGGGGGCAAGTACATGATCAGCCAGAACTGGGCGACGTATCTGAAGGCGCGCATGAACTGCAGCATCTCGAGCGAGTTCCCCTTCTACTTCAACGAAATACAATCCGTCTACAAGATGCCCAACGACGATAGCAAGTTCTATGCCACGTTTACAACGAATACAAACGGACTGATTGGTTCGGCTGTCTGCAGTTACGATATCCGGGATATCAATGCGGCCTTTGAAGGTTAGTGGGTGACTGCATGAAATATATGTATATGTGTGTGAGTGGGTGAGTGTGTCTGTGTCGGCAGGGCGGGCCAGTGGGTGGGCCTACTATGCCTGTGTCTGTGCCGGCGTCGGCGTCAGCGTCTGCCAGTGTAAGCGTGAGATTTATTGCATTGGCAATAATTCTCTGCGGCGCCATTTTTACGAACGTGCATGCGGCTACGTTTGACTTCTTCCAGCATTTCCCATTACGTAGGGCTGCAGCTGCCGGAAGAAATTACGCTCACAGGTGCTGCATGTATGTGTGTGCGTGTGTGTGAGTCGTGCAGAGAAGCTTTGGCATTTTAGCGTTAAATGGTGCGAGCTGAATTGATGTGCCTGCCACTGGGGCTCGTTCTGCGGCTTTAAATGCTTTAACGTTTGCTACAAAACGGCTCGACTGCCGCTGCTGTTGCTGCTGCTGCTGCTGCTATTGCTGGCGTGCTGCATGGTTAACGGTAACTAGATATGCGTGACAGGTGCTAACAGCCCACCTGTACCTGTACAGCTGCTGCTCCTGCTGCACGGTTGGACCACCTGCCAGCCACACGCAATCCAAACGCATGCGATTTGTAATGCAACAAAGTCTGGCATGCACCCCGAAATGCATGTCATATACTTTAATCCTAGTGGCAGTCTCCTCAGCCACAATATGCGCATATATTTTGAGCTTCCTCACCCACTCTCGTCTCTCATGCAAAATTCACTGTACGAAATGTCTGAAGTGACGCCAGCAACAGCAGCAGCGACATTTGCTGATTTTGTGGCAGCTTCTGAAGCTCATTTCCGTTAGCGATTGCTGTTGAATAACATTTGCGAAGGATCAAGCAAAGTTGCCTACATATAAATTTAGATTAGAAATAGAGAGAGAGAGAGAGAGAGAGAGAGAGAGAAATTGAGAGTACGGCTTGGTTCAAGAGTATTGAAAATGTATATAATAAAAATGTGGAAATCAGTTTTGATATAAATTAAGTAATAAATAAATTTCTAAAAAATAATTTATAATTTTCATAAA